TTGAATAGGCAGCTCGTATATCTCTCCCTGCACCTTCCTCGGGGAAACCGCTATGCAGCGCCTGCCCAGGGTCGCGGAATTCTATCCTGCCAGGAGTATTGATCCTAGTCGTCTTGGGGATTTATCGTGCCAACTGCCTTTGAAGCAATTCAGACCCTGTCCTTCGGCTGGACGCAGTTACACTGCTCGCGTTAATGCCTTTCTACCGAGTCCAGTAGATTAGTCAGCGAGCACGTTAGTCCGTTACCTGTACCTCCATTTTCTCCAATTCCGGTTTTTTTTCGTTCGGACTATTATCCTGCTTTTGTGTTATGTGCTGCTTTATATACAATACACTGCACACTGCATATATATACAGCAGCGCTCAAGAAGTATTCGGCCAAATGCTTTTTTCGCCCATAACTTTTTTCTCACCCAAGCAATTCATTTCAAATTTTAGTATGTTATACCTACCATAACAGCATGCTTTTGAACACTGCACGGTCTACAATTTGTTTGCGTAACGACTAATTTCAGTGTCCACAAGGCTACCATACTGCTCACATTTTTCGTGTTTTAAAGAGTTCTATGACATTGTTTCTAGGTGCCAAAATGAGTTTCTACTCCTTTCAGTGACTGGAGAGAAGATTAGAACATTGGACGCAAAAAGAAACTGTCAAGAAGATTAATAACGGCGTTAAGACGCGCCTTTCCCAATCATTCTGGGAGTTTTTAGACGCTTACTGCCATCGTGGCCTCAACAATAAAACTTTAGAGAGCGTTTGCAAGACCGTTGGAGCATGTCTGACCTTTTCGCTAGGATAAACGCACCAACCACCGCTCGCAGGCTGATTCCGAGTCCACATGCGTCGACTTCGCAGCCAATTTCAATAGCATTAATGAGACAAATATTAGTAAATGGATTGTCGGAAGACACTGAGAGTGTTAGGGTTAAATGGTAGGTGTGCGATCAAGAATCCGTTGTTCAGCGCAGAAATTCAAAGTACGCCACCATCACTGAAAATCGAGCGGTGGAGACAACGTCCAACCCACTGACGGGAGCGGGCTCGTTGTTTTTGAATCTAATGTTATCAAGTGTGTTACCCATTTTCTCGACGATCTTACTTCGAGCACTGCTGCGTTGATGAAGGCGACGCTCTCTCCACCGCTCGATTTTTAGGGAAAGTGGCGGAGAGTGACCTCTGATTTGATGCTTTGAACTTCTGCGCTGAACAACGGGTCCTTGATCACACACTTACCAGTTAACCCTACCTATCTCAATGTTCTTCTGACATTCCATTCACTAATATTTGTCGCTACTAATTGGCTGCGAAGTCGACGCAGTGGACTCGGAGTCAGCCCGCAAGAGGTGGTTGGTGCGTTTATCCTAGCGAAAAGATATCAAATATGTACCGGTGGTCTTTCGGTCGATGACTATTCTTACTGTTGTGACAACGATGGCACAATCTTTTAGAAACTCGGGAAGGGCGCGCCATTACGCCGACATTTTCCATCTTTCTGGCAACTTTGTGACCGAGGTTCTAGTCTTCTTTACAGTCACTGGAGTAGTAGAATCCCATTTTGGCACCAAGAAACAATATCATAGGACTCTTCAAAACACGAAAAATGTGAACAGTAGCCTGTGGACACTGAAATTATTCCGTTATGCGAAAAAACTGTACACCGTGCACTGTGTCCAAAGGCAACTGCTGTTGTTCACTGGTCAAATGGTAGGTATAACATACTAAATTTGAAAGGAATCGCCAGGATGAGAAAAAAAGTTATGGGCGAAAAAAGCATTCGTCGGGATACTTTTGAGCGCTACTGTACGTATATACACATATATAATACATACATGTATATATATGTGTATATATATATATATATATATATATATATATATATATATATATATATATATATATATATATATATATATATATATATATATATATATATATATATATATATATATATATATATATATATATATATATATATATATATATATATATATATATATATATATATATATATATATATATATATATATATATACTTATAGCACACACAAAGAGACAGTGTTAGCGGATTATATGTAGGCTATATATCCTTCTATGGCAATACAAGAACTGGGACCGGGACACTATTGGCTAGTGACAGAAAGTCATCATAATTGAAAAGATCCATAAGAGGTTATAAAAGAGGATAATCGCTAGATTCACAGCGAGGGTCGCAGCAACTGTAAGAGATCCGTTCCAACAAATGATGTGAGAGGTGGAACGAGGACCCATTTTTGTAGGTGATAGAACGTAATCACAGCTGATAAGATGCGATGAGAGACTACAGAAGAGGAGGGTCGCAAAATTCATAGTGCGGTTTGCAGCAGCTGTAGGAAGTCATCTAATAATCTCCTTGTTGTTCCTCGTTGTGAACTCGGCATGATGCCGAGTGTTTAATTACTTCTGCCAAACGAGGTTTGTTAGACAACCTTTTATTGGCCTGACGTTTCGACCTTCTCGTCTTCTTCAGAGGCCTGAAAATGGCTCGAAGCTTTTAACTGGAACCTATTCGATCGAACGCCTTCTTCATACTAACCTTTCGGACCTCGTGTCCCGAACGCTTCTAAGCAAACCGGTCATAACTGCAAACGACTCATCGAGACCTTTCCTGGTTAACCAAAACGCACTCTCACGCAGCACTCAGAACTAGCCATGGGACAGGGTAGATACAATGACGCCTGGTGTTGTTCAGGACATGGTCTAATTTGCATACTTCGAGCATTCAAGGTACGCTAAATGGACAATCGGAATGACGCTGCGCAGGCACATCTAGCAACTAAAACTAAATTCGTACTGCTACCTCACTAAGGATCTACTCTCCCATTCAACTCGTACGAAATGAACTACGTACTTCTTAGCAGCAAGAGAAAAGCGTTTTTAAATATTGACGAGAACAACTGAAAAGAAAACCCGCTGACTATGCATATAAGGGCACTCTAAGCCTTTGATAGATAAAGAAACAACTGAAGTACAAACTCTCGAAATTGTGAAGAGCTTAGAAAAGTGTTAAAATTCAAACCGATACCTTCGAAGGGATGCCATGAAGCTGACCACCAGAGTGTAAATTTCGATCATTTATGGGCTTCTCCTTTGTTAACGTCATCACCGGTACAGACCTGACTACGACATCGTCAGCCACTGCAACTGTACATTTGTTAACAGAATCCCCTTCCAACTTCCAAAAGCTACAACTCACGGAACGGATTCGTCGGCCGCCCTTTAAAAATTATACGGTAGTTGGTAAGAAATAGAGCTCCTTCAGCTGGAAGCATACTCAGACTGTTCTCGGGATTATCTGCATTTATAGGACGTCCTTCCGGGAGCATTGTACAACGCAGACCACCGACGATTACACGTTCGCATGGAGTCAGTAGTACTGGTGTTAAGAGTTTCGACTGGAAAAGGTAGTTATAGTCCCCAAGAATTTTTATGCAGTATGTAACAGTATGTGACACCTTCGGTGGAGGGGCGAGCTTCCGACTCTCTGCATAGACTTGCTCAAGATTATCAATGTGAACAGCGACAAATCCTGGGATAACTTGGGTGAGTTTCTCGGTGAGCCGAGGATCAAGCCCAGCGGCCGAACATATGCGATCAATGACTCGAGAGATCCACGTGACGACCTGTAAATGACATTTCGGACCATGTAAGCACCAGGTACACTGAAGTGGAGCAGACAAAGCATGCAGCCTGAACTATGAGCGATCGGTTTTAAAAATAGCGGAAAGCCGGTCCTCAGAAGGGGTGGTAAAACACCATCTCTGCTGGGAAATCTTAACCAATGTGGTCTCGTCCCTTGTGAGGAGTCGTAAACGCAGGCTCGTCACCCGCGTGGGTAGCAGGATTCCCATCGATAGGGAATGGGGAGCGAGACTAGCGCTGTAGAGCAACTGGATGTGTGAAATAGCTGGGTGAGGAAAATAAACTATGAAAAAATGATGGATCTCTCTGAATTTCACGACAAACTGTGCGCTCATCCCCAATGACGGTCGTTTCTGTGTGGAGGTGAATAGGTCCGCAGTTGCAATAGCATAACAACCTTTGCTCAAGGATGCACGCAAGCTGGGCTGAAGAGTAGCTACCCGATGCTGGCTCCATACTCCGCCCGCGCTGTTGCAGCATATGCGCAGCTACTAAAGTTCCGCAGCGGAACAGATACTGAGCGCTAGGAAATAGAGTGAGAGGGGACAGAAAAGTAGCGCACTTGGCTACGACAGGACGTGTGGCTGACCGCACGTGAGCGCGAGGTGGAGTATGGAGGCGGCACCGAGTATCACTACTCTTCCGCCCAGTTTCCGTGCATATTTGAGCGAAGTAAGTGGCATGCTACAACAGCTGCGGACCCATTCACCAAATACACAGGCAGGAACAGGATCCGCGGAGATTAGTGTAGAGTTTGTACTTGAGAACGTATCTGCTCGCAGCACTGCATAGGTGTTGCACCTTTCCAACACCTCTGCGTGGGAGTTAAATGCATAGCGCGAAGCATGGCGAACGAGACCAATCGGAAGCATGCTAGAAAAGTATGATAGATGTATGTTCAAGTTTGCCCCTGGAAAATGTACTGCGAGTGAGGAGCCTTACTTCCCAGTCACGACATCGCTTTACCAGTTGACTTGGGAGATAGAGTCGACGCGCGGCGCTGCTAACATGCTGAGATGGCGCTGCGCGTCAAGTCCGTCTCCAAAGTTCAACTCCCAATGCGATGCCTCGACTGGGACTAAACGCTCTCTGACCATACACTACGAGGTACACTATTTATGGGAAGGTTAAATTCTACTATTTAGATAATACAGCGGTAGTTCTATCCACAAGTCTTACAAAATCCCGTCTTATACGACGTTTTCAAGAATCCTCAACATAAAGAATGGGGAAAACACCATCAGAGTCAATCAATATGTCAACACGAAAAACTAAACCGGAAGAACAAGTTTTCTTCTTTTTCATTTTTTTTTGAAAGGTGATCACTCTGACAGTGACACAAAATGAAAGTTCCACTAAATAAATCAACTCATCCAACAATAAGTGCACAACAAAATGGATGAATGTCAATTGAGTAATCTAGTGGAGCTCCATTTCTTCGAATGAGTTGGATACGGTTGTCCATGCTTGAATAGAGGTTCTCAATAAGCTGCATAGGTTTCCCATGCATCAACGAGTGTCTCGTCAGACCTACACGGAATCGTCATGTACTGTTCACACTGATCTTACGCACCAGAAACCCCGCATATTCTCGAATGGGTTCAAGTCAGGACTGTTTGCTGGTCAGGGCAAAAGTGCGATTTGATGACAATGAACCTGACTCGAATGTTTCGGCAAACATGAGTTGGTGCATTATCTTGCACGAAAACTAGATTTTCTTGGCGATTTCTGCACCAAAAAGGAAGTAGACTTTGTCGCACGACGCTAGGATGACCGGAAGGGTTCATTTTTGTCGTCACGAGCACAACTTCAGACGTCCGTTGGTCGATGGCAGCTGAGAACATGTCACCCTCTTCTCTGAAAATCAGCCTCTAAAAATGAAGCTTGTATTTCCTTAGGTCCTGCCAGTAGGCCGTCTGAGCCGTCCTGAAGTGACAAGACAGACAAGACTAGGGCACCATAACCAAAAGCTAAATTTACTCAGTCGGTTCGGGGCATCTTCAGGCAAAGGAGATTCAGTTTTCGCATGTTCTCTGTGAAAAACGGTGACTTTCTCATTTTTTCGAGAAATTATTTCACTTTACCAAGACATGTCAAGTAGCATCCGTCAAAACACTAATGCTTTGACGACGGGACAGCTCAGTTGCGCCGCTTGAGAAGTATAGAAGGGAAGAACGTCAGGGTTGTGATTTTGACGTAAAATGAGTGATAATGGTACGAAGACATCGGCGCCAGAAAGACATTGTAAGCTTTCTGGAATAAAGCACTTTAATCCTAGCATGAACAATAGGAACGAATGCATGCCGATAACCTTCTGATTTCCTTGCTGTACATCCCACAATGTGAGCTCTGATACCTCTGATACCTTATCATAAGGCCCGTATCACAATGATTGAGGTTGTGGAGAGATTCAATCATCAGAATCTTGCATCATCAGATCTTCGATGTGAGCTTCCGATGCAAGCGTCCGTGCGTTGAAAGTACAGATCGTCATCCTAGTCCTGGGCGACTTGAATCTCCGTTGGCCCTGTGATTCTTGCAGCCTCGCCCGAGCGGTCCCAGCCGACGTCGCCCTGTCGGTGGTTCCCTCAGGTTCAGGAGGAACGAGGCTCGTATTCTTTACTGTTTTCGGCGAATAAATGAGTTAACCATGCTAAATGCCAGGCTCTAATATGGCACCCTCCACTTTGGTACGGTTTGAAACAGTTCGTGGATAGGACCTGTGAGAGTCTTCCTCCCGAAGCGCAGAAAAAGCAAGAAGACGTAATGATGCAACACTTTTACCAAACAAAAATGAAATGCAGCGGGGAAAACGTGCGGTGAAATTACCATTTTGGGTCGCTGACAGAGAGACTGCCTTCAAAAAAATGAAGAAAAAAAATTGCTTTTCAGGTTAGCGCTTTGTGTAGATATGCAGAATGGAATTGATTTACCACGTTTCCTGCTAGGGGCAAAGACGTCGTGTAAGACGTTTCCAAAAATGCCCTTAGTTGGAGATTCCGTGAGATTCATAAGTAAAACTATCACTATGGGTAGCAGTGCACATTCTGCAGGAGTATCATGTGAAGAAACTTATATCTGTCGAAATCACAGAAGCTCGCATGCAGTTTTTCAAAGCCCATTTGAATCACCACTGGAGATAACTTTTGAAGAAGGAGCATTCAGCAAATCTGGTGCATTTCAAAAACTCTTATGTTATTCATGAAGCTGTTTTCCTTTACCCAAATGGTCAGGTTACGACCAAGTTAAAGTTGTTCACAGTAAAGTCTCAGTACGTCTGCGAATTCCGGACGTTTTGCAGAATAGTTTGCTGCAACGCGGTGAACCACGACACTGAGAGCTGTCGTTTATAGTATGGATTCTACAACAGCTCGTACTAAAAGCCGGGAGGAGAGACTGCAGTGAGTTCCCATCCGAGGGAAACGTATTTAAACGTTTTTTCTCTCGACCAGGTCTCTTCTTGTCGCTCAGTAGCCGTCTTAGAGAAAATTCCCGCGATCAAGTGTTACGGGTAGTTGGTGCTCAGTCATGAACCAGTGGCCCATAAGTAGCTCCTCAGTAGAAAAAGAAGCGAAAAAACCTCGGGAACACCCTAAACACAGACCTCCCCTCAGCAGTGGGGCGGCGTCTTGGACGAGTATGTCGGACGTGAAGGACGCGCTCTCCATAGCGATTGGAGCGCAAAGCTTGAGCCGTGGGACCGTGGCGTGAGCGCCAGGCAATTCCTGGCCAAGCGATGCGATATTCGTGTTCGGAGGTTGAAGGTCTGGAAACAAAATTTTTAGCCTTTTTCAAAAAGCTCGATAGTAAAACTGGTCTGATGTCGGAAGATTGGGGTAGTAACAATTGAATAGTGCCCCATCTAAAAGATCATTAGGTGAGTCTGAGAAACACACTAACTGCTCTTCATTTCACATCCTCCTCCTGCGACGAGTGTCGTGACTGTCGCACGACCGTCCCTGGGGGGCTAATGGGGCGCCGGGAGGATACCGCGCTCGGGTTGCACTACAGTTGGTCCTACTACGAAAAGCATGATCCGCGGGAACCGCGCAGACAGTACTATTGTCATCATTTTTCAAATCAGTCGTCGTCCTGCGCTCATCATGAGCGGTCGTGCAACCGGTGGACCAGCGCCACCATTCCTTGTCCCTGTTCAACCTTCGTCCGTGGTCTTTTCCTGTCACTGCTGATCAACTGCCTCCATTCTTCCCATCCTCATCTTCATCCACAGGTATGACTTCCTCATTATCAATTTTGTTGTACATATTAATATCGATTAGCCATTTCTCATATGTGTTATTGGATTACAATGATTTTGTCGATGTTATCATATAGTGTTCTTCTATATGAAGTTATTGAAGGTAATGGTGTCTTGTCAGAGTAGTTATAGTGAGTAGGTACATGGTTGTCATCCACTTAGCAAGGGGCAGGCCTCACTCAGCCCGTGGCAGGACCCTTGGGCACACAACGGCGCGACGTCCCCTTGTAGGAGGGTGCGGGCCCTTATAACCCCGCGTTCTGGCGTGACCCGGGTGCACCCCGCCGATGCCAACGTCCCTTGTCCGCACCTGGGCACGACAACGAGTATGGAAGACGAACTACCTACTCTTCATTCAGAATGAAACTCAACGAAAGGCTAAGTGCTCTTTTGTTCACATCCTCCTAATTGGAATCGCGCTTGCGAAGGCTGTAGAACCCTAAAACAGCCTGAATCGTCTTCAATTCATGTCCAGCGGTGCGAGGTGCTTAATCGCTATGGAAAGCGCGGATCACCGAAGATGGCAAAGTGCCAGAAGCGCCGCGCGCGACACGTGCCGCGCGGGTGTTGTAGGAATAGAAGCTTGTGAGCCGTTGTCTCGTACAGCTACAGTATGATGTCGCACGTGTTGCCACGCTCACGTGTCTCTAACTTCTTTATCTCGCCGTTTTGTACGTTCTCTGTGAAAAGGTATAACAGTTCAAAAGGCACGGAGTCATTTTGAGGACCACTTGATCGCAGGAAGTGTCTTTAAAAGCAAGAAATACAATTCTCAACGCG